TGAACATTAAAAAATGAATGGCGAAATTCGTTGGTAAATGAAACGACCGAGAGCAGTTCAAAGAGAAATTTTGAAATATCATAGATAGGCTAGTGCACCCGGTTATGAATCGGGAGGTCTATGGTTCGAGACCCCTCTATGGAGAGCATTTTTCTTACAAAAAAAAATTGTGCTTTTGCAAATGGGATTAACAGATTAAAGAGTATATCCAATTAACTTATTTATCTTATTACAATAAAGGCATAACAACGACAACCTGCGGGCTTCCACATCACCCAAGAGGTGCCGCAGTCGATGCGTTCCCATTATTTAACCGTAGCGGGTCCCCAATAGGCCTATACTACGATCGGCATATACTATTTTTCAAGGTTCCTCTCTTTCAAATTTTCTCGGTTGCCCAAACTTTATTTTAAGCTTATATAAAATATTTAAAAAAAAAAAGGTAGTCATCGGGATCGAAAATCATTTTCTATTAACTCACAATATTCTCTTTCGCAATATCCTTCATAGTAATAAAATAAACATGAGACGTGTTGCGTCTTGTTTCCTTATAACTATTGAAGAACTACTTACCATGATGCTGCTGCCTGTACGTCTGTGAACGACCTGACGCTGCAGGCCCCAATGTGTGTTGCTAGTCGCGCGATAGTTAGCAACATTGTTGCAGACGCCCGCTCAGATTCGATCCGTCAGATTCCTAGACTGTTGTGTTGAAGTCGCCAGTACGTGATCTCAATAGACCGGTGTACTATTCTTCCCAATTGTCCTTTTCTCAATTTCCCTTACTTTTAGATATTTACACGCGTCATGTGTGTGTGAAATATAATGTAAAATAATTGTCGTAATCATCTTCAATGAAGAAACTTCAATTTGAGTGCAGAACTCATATTATTAAGATTTTCTAATCGAAACCTTTTGATATCCTATTACCATTCGTTTATACTTTAATTACTTAAATAGATCGTTTGTGTAATGTTGATATCGCTGATCGTAGTATAGACCTATTGGGGACTCGCTACGTTAAATAATGGGAACGCATCGACGGCGGCACCTCTTGGGTGATGTGGAAGCCCGCAGGTTGTCGTTGTT